ATAACTCTATCCCAATGTAATCCCTTTTCCGGTTCTGTCAATTTTGCTATCATAGGTCCTAGGCTTCTATTGACTCGTTCAACTTGGCCATTAGCCTGCGGCGAGCCCGTCGCTATTTTTATGTGCTTCACATTACTTTTTTCCATAAACTCTGCAAAATCAGACGATGTAAAACAACTGCCCCGATCTGATACTATGCATCTAGGTATACTATAAGCTCGAAAATAGTCTGTTAATGCATTTATCACCTCTTTTGTATTTGTCGTTTTTGTTGTGTACAACCTAACAAACTTTGTAAATGCATCTACGACCACAAATATATGCTTTTTTGATCTGCTACTATCTACCGGCCCATAATGATCTATATGAATGATCTCAAAAGGTTTGTTGCCTTTTGGTATGCTATGTAAATGTCCATCTCCTCTACCTACTTTCGGAGCATACGCTATGCACTTTAAACAATTTTGAATGTGTTCAACGACTTTATCTTTCATGCGTGGAAACCAATAACTCTTTCCAATAACTTCTAACATTTTATCCCTCCCAATATGACCCATTTCATCATGATACTTGTATAGCACATGTTCCTCCATTCGATTCGGTACGTAAAACAATAATCTGTTGTCGTTGCTTTTCCTATAGATCACACCATTTCTCATTTCATATAACTTATGCTCGTTACTTTCTAACATTTTCCTAATTTCCTGAACCTTTACATCTTTTGATTGACAAATTACTAAATTTGTTTCGAATGTATTTGCCTCCACTATCATAATATTGTTGCATCTACTCAATGCATCTACCTGTTGCATTTGTCTGCCTGCTCTGTGCTTTAATTCATAATCGAACTCCTGCAGCTCTAGAGCCCACCTTGCTATTCTTGGGTTCAACTCAATCTTATTGAGGGTTAAAGTTAGAGAGTTACAGTCTGTTACAATTTTAAATTGTTTGCCTAGCAAATATATTCTAAATCTTCTCAACGCATAAATTATAGCTAAAGTCTCCAATTCAAAACTGTGATACTTCGCTTCCGTTGCAGTTGATCTCTTCGAAAAATAGAAAATAGGATGTAACTTGCTGTCTTCTTTTTTCTGAAGAAGCACAGCTCCAAATCCTAAAGCACTTGCATCGCAGTGAAGTTCGACATCATCTCTGTAATCGTATAAAGCTAACACTGGCGCTTCCATTAACTTCGCCTTTAAAAGTGAAAAACAATTTAACTCTTCTTCTTCAACCTAAAAAGCCTATCCTTTCTTAATAAATCATATAATGGTTTCGCTAATATAGAAAAATCCTTAATGAATCGTCGAAAATATGAACAAAGACCCAAAAAGCTTTGAACTGCTTGCACCTTGCCTGGGATCGGAAATTTTGTATAGCTTCCAACCCCTTGCTATCAGCCTTAATCCCATCGTTTGAAATTAGAAAACCCAAATATTTGACCTTGTCTTGTAAAATTTGCATTTATCCATTCTCAATTCTAACTTGTTTTCTACTAACCTTCTAAATACTTCTTTTACAACATCTAAATGTTCTTCTAAACTTTTGCTTGCAACTAAAATATCGTCCATGTATATGATTACCTTCTTTTCTCTTATCATGTCCGAAAATATGTCATTGACGAATCTCTGGAATACCTGTGGGGCTGTTTTAAGACCCATGGGCATCCGTAGAAACTCAAACTGTCCTAACGGGGTGGTAAACGACGTATATTTCACTGACTCTTCGTTGACAAATACATGAAAGTAACCATTCTTAAGATCCAATTTTGTAAATACTGATTTTCCCACTAAGCTATCCAAAAGGTCATCAATTAATGGTATCGGATAATTGTCCTTAGCCATGATTTTGTTCAATTTTCTAAAATCTATACAAAGTCTAAGTTCACCCGACTTCTTCTTCACTAATACGATAGGAGAAGCATACTCCGATTTACTAGGTTGAATAATCCCATCTCTAATATATTCGTCTAACATTTTTGACAATGCTTCCTTCTCACTATATGACAGTCTTCTTGGTGCGCAGCTAAATGGTTTTGAGTTTCTAACACTATTTTCATTTCGCATTTTATTTTCGGAACTTCCGGTCGCTTGACTTGAACATAATGCGTCTCTAACATCTTGATAAACGTTTCACAATCCTTATAGTTTATTTGCTCACCAATATTATAAATTTTTTCTTCCTCACAGTTTTCTAAAATGTTTATATCCATCATTTCCCTATCAAATTTTCGTCCAACACACCTCGATGTTCCTCACCTAACCCTTTTGTACCTAAAGTTTGTTCCCGTATAACATATGTACCTAATTATTATCTTCTAAACATTCACCTAAGCTTGTATCTAAACCATTTTCTCCTAAATTTGTACCTAAATGTTTTCATATAAACTTGTACCTAACCATTTTTTCCTAAATTTGTACCTAAATGTTCTCATATAAACTTGTACCTAAACCATTTTCTCCTAAATTTGTACCTAAAATGTTCTCACCTAACTTGTACCTAAAGATTCTCTCCTAAATTTGTACCTAAAGATTATCTCCTAAATTTGTACCTAAAATTCTCTCCTAACTTGTACCTAAAAGATTCTCTCCTAAATTTGTACCTAAAATATTCTTTCCTAAATTTGTACCTAAATACTCTTTCCTAATTTGTACCTAAAATATTCTCACCTAAACTTGTACCTAAAATATTCTTTCCTAAACTTGTACCTAAATTATTCTCTCCTAAATTTGTACCTAAAATATTCTTTCCTAAACGTGTACCTAAATCTTTTTGATCTAAATCTGTACTGAAACTACCTTTATCTAAATTTTTGCCCACTAAAATTTCACTTTCTAAATTTTCGCAACCTAATACTCTATCCAAATCATAAGGGTCCTTAGTATTGTCATTCACTAAGCTAATGTTTGTATCACGACCGACTTGGGTTTTACATTCCTCGATTGTAATCATTTTTAAGGTTTCTAAATTAATTTCTAATTTACAAGCTTTCATAAAATCTCGCCCCAGCACAATATTACAGAGCATAGATTCGCTAGCCACAACAATTAATTTAAACCAAATCTTTATTTCATTTTTTAATATAAAGCATAATATTTTCCATAGCTTTTCAATAAGCTTTTGTTTAATCCGAAATAACTTCTCTAAGAGGTTCTAACTTAATGTTTTTTGGTATACAAGAACGTTTTATGAGCGAAACTGGGCTTCCCGAATCTATTTGGCACTCTGTAATAATAGGCTGGTTCGTATTTTTCACACAAAAAATTTTGAATACTCTTACATAGTTGTTTTCCACCTCCTTATTCTGGGGACATACAGCAATACGGTGATCCTCTGCGCCACAGCCATAACACGAACCAGGCTCTCGCTTTGGCTTGGTGCACTCCCACTTCCAGTGCCCCTTGCCGTTGCAGTTGAAGCATCGAGTTTCGTTGTTCGTCGAAACCGCCTTTGCCGCCGACGCCTTCGCCTTAATTGACGCCCTTGCTGGCAGCTTGATGTCCGCAAACGCTCGCAACATTCTCCTCGGGGCATCAAAACATTGCATTTTAGCCTGCATTCGAAGACTTGGTAATGGAATGCCCTCTACAAGTCCATCCACCAGCTCATCCTCTTCCATTGCCACATACCGAGCCAATCTGCACTTCTCCTCGAAGTACATCGCAAATTGTTCATCCGGCGACCAGACGCGTGCCTCAAACTTGCGCCTTAATGCCGCTTTTGACTCAATGCCCCCAAAAGCTAGCTTTAATTCTTCGATGAGCTCGTCCATTGGCTTCGCCAACCGTCCCGTCTCAGCATGCAGCCATTGTAGGGAATCTCCCTTGAGCTTGATAATCAACAGAATTCGCCGCTGCATGTCCGTTAATCTATGAAGGGCCGAAATACTGTCCCACTGGTCAATCCACGATCGCACACACACCTTGCTGCCGAAGTCCATTAGCATTTCTCTGGCCATGTTAAAACCCGGTGTTGCGAAACTGTCTGTTGCTATTTCGCCATCTCGCTGTACGTCGCCTCTGCCGTCTCCTCTGCCGTCGCCTCTGCCGTCGCCTCGTTGCGAGTTCTGGAAACTTCTGGTAGGTAGCTGTTCAAAGTTCTCAGAACTGTTGTTGTTGGCGTCGTTGTTTCGTCGCCCGCCACTGTCGCCAACTCTAACGCCTAGCTGTCCTTCCTTCTCGGAACCATGCCGAATTCGAGAATTTTCGTCTCTTTCATTCCCGCCGTCTTCGTTGCTCTGGCTGCCGCCGACATTGGCGCCGATCTGGCGATTCAAATTTGCCAGAATTTTTCTCGCCTTGGCAGTTTCCTCGCGCAATTCTCCAAGAGTTTCTTTGGCGATCTCCAGCTCACCGTCGATTTCCACGTCCGTGTCACCTAACTTTTCCATCTCCACACACTCTTCCGGAGCACTGCCTCGAGTTTCAATCGGAACCTTGGCTAGCCTTGCGAACAGCTCCACTTTTGTGCCCTTCGTAGGCAAATTTAACAGCTCCAACCACCGCTTTAGTTGGACAACCGTTATATCCGCTATGTTCAAATCCATTATTTTATTTTATTTGTCCAACTGATGAGAAAAATTTTTGATTCTGATCCCACTTCTGAAGTTTGTGGCCGTCTTTAAGTTCTAAACACTTCTTGTTCTTTTCTTCTCTTTCTAATATTTCTTTATTATTTAATCCTAAACTTTTATACTTGGTTTTATCTATTCTTCACTCTTGTCTTTACACTTTTGTCTTTACACGTCTACTCTCGTTCCGATCTTCTCACCAAGTGATCTGCCGCTCTCAGCAAACACTCAATCAACCCCCATTCTTAGCCAGTCGCTCTCTCATGTTCTCTTTTGAGAGAGCGTAACATCTCAATTAGAGTGGCCAGAGCATACTTATCTTAACTGGCCTGCTACAGAAGAAAGCCTTAATTAAGTTTACCACATCAAAGACCCAAATCAATTGTAAGAAAATGCTTTTTAACTCATCTTCTTGACCTTAGTTATCCCTCCAAATCTACCTTTGACTTATCTTTCAAATATTCAGAAACACTTTCACTATTTCACCCTATTTTAAAAAAAATTACTTAACGTGTCTGACAATGTGCCTACCATCAGGCAGAGCATCTGCAAGTTTTAAGACTCGCTTAAACACAGTCTCTTATTTTATCAAACCAAAACTTCTACAAATTACCTTAAATATTAGAAAACAAAATTATGTAGCTGCAACTTCAATATGTCTTTCGGTCAATAAGGAAAAAACTGCGACAAAATGTGATTCTTTTAAAGGAAGCCTCAACAAGGACATCACCAAGGAAGGTTCTCTAGTAAAATCCCATGATTTCAAACAGTTCTTGGATCTCAAGACACCCTGCCTCGAGAAGTCCCATATCTTAACTCATTCAAGTTCAAATCTCAAAGATAATTCGCAAATATATATGACAAGCCGGAGCTTTAGTTTAGAAGCCAAACCGCCATCCTCCCCAGAGAAGTCCTCTCCAAAGGAGCCACAACCATCACCATCTATCCATATTAAACCCAGTAAAACCGAGCAACTGAAGGAAGCCTTTAAGGAATATGGATCTGCTTTAATGGCCTTTCATTTGGCTATATCCTTGATATCCTTTGGCGGCTTCTATGCTTTAATATCTGGTGGAATAGAATTGGATCTCATACTGGAATTCTTTGGAATCTCCTCAAATGCTTTAGCTGAGAAAATGGCCACCGGAAGTACCTTTGTATTGGCTTTGGCCATACACAAAATTCTGGCACCAATTAGAATTAGCATAACTTTGGGGGCCACTCCATTTGTGGTTCGCTATTTGCGATCTAAAGGATTGATCAAAGCTAAAACCAAAGCTTTATAATTAATATTTCAAAATATGGAAAGTTTACTTAACTAAATTTGGGTTGTTAAAGAAATAAAGTGATTGGAAAATGAATCTTTGTTGAGGTAACATCTATCCATCTATCTATTTTGAGGTATTATTTCAATAAATGGCTTAAACCAAGTTTCTCCAAGACAATTTCTCTCTCTCTCTAAACCTTAACCCCCTCGCAATGTTAACCCACACTCAACCAATTGACACAAAAATTGTGTGACAAGCGTCGACTTAGGGACAAATCAAAGTCAGCTCAGCTTGTCTCATCTCATGGAGCATTTCAAATTGCAATTAGCCACAAACCAAGTCAAAGTGATTAAGCCATGATTTTGATGGCTAAAAGGGAGTACCAGAAGGAGACAGCTGTGGCACACAGAGACAGAAAGAGGTAGATGGTAAAGATTGCTAGACAATGGAGCAAATAAAAATATATCCAAATGGAGGTAATAAACGTGCGATTACTTAACGTCGACGACGAGAAATTGTCGCATTGACAAAACTCAAATGGAGCCAAACACGCACAGGCACTCAAACAAATAATTGTGAATAAAGGAAATATGTAAAAAATAAATAAACAAATGTTTAAACATTTTTAAACCAAAAGAAGAGATTTTGGGTGAAAGGTAAACGAGAAAGTATTTGTTTTTACGTCAACGGAATAGTGCAATATTTCACAATAACATACAGTTTAATAAGAGATAAATGTATATTCAAAATATATTATTTTTAAATTCTTTGATTAAATTCTTACAAATTTTTTTATACCCTTGCAGGGTATTATAATTTCAGTCAGAAGTTTGCAACGCAGTGAAGGAGGCACCTCCGACTATATAAAGTATATATATTCTTGATCAGAATCAACAGCCGAGTCGATCTAGCCATGTCCGTCTGTCCGTCTGTCCGTCTGTCCTTCTGTCCGTCTGTCCGTCTGTCCGTCTGTCCGTTTCTACGCAAACTAGTCTCTCAGTTTTGAAGCTATCTGAATGAAACTTTGCAGTTAGTCTTCTATATACTCTCACTCGTATATATGTCGGAACGGGCCGGATCGGACGACTATATCATATAGCTGTCATAGGAATAATCGGAAAAGTTTTACAAAAAAAATTATAAAATTTTTAATTTTCAACAGAATTTGATCAAATTTGAGATATAGCCATTTCATATTATTCTACAATTTTGTGTAAAATTTTATGAAAATCGGACGACTATATCATATAGCTCCCATAGGAACGATCGAGAAATTAATACAATTAATAAGTATAACATTTTCAGTTTTCAAGAGATTTTCATCAAATTTGAGATATAGCCGTTTCATATTATTCTACAATTTTGTGTAAATTTTATGAAAATTTGACTAATATATCATATATATCCCATAGGAACGATCGAGAAATTTGAGAGGAATGAGAACGGCGGTGGCTGTTGTCGGAAGACTGACAATCGCGGTGGCGATAACATTTTTAGTTTTCAACAGAATTTAATCAAATTTGAGATATAGCCATTTCATATTATTCTAAAATTTGTGTAAAATTTTATGAAAATCGGACTACTATATCATATAGCTCCCATAGGAAGGATCGAGAAATTAATACAGATAAATTTATAACTTTTTAGTTTTCAGCTGATTTTCATCAAATTTGAGGTATAGCCATTTTATATAAGTCTTAAATTGTGGCAAATTTCATAAAAATCGGACGACTATATCATATAGGTGCCATACAAACGATCGTTTGATGTAGAGGAAAAATGCAAATCTGTGAATGTAAAACTGCAAATATAATATGTATATGTGAATGAAATGAAAGCAGGTATTACTTCATTGTTTTTTAACACAAATATATATAATTTATATTGTATGGATTCCTATTCATAGAGTTCTATCTGCAAGGGTATATAAACTTCGGCGTGCCGAAGTTAGCTTCCTTTCTTGTTTAATATTAAAATCTTTTAGAAAAAGATTTTCCTCGTGCAACTTACATTTTAAAATATTAAAATCTTTCCCTAAAAGCTTTATAAAACCTGTAAGATTTACAGTTTCCCCAAAGCATTTTCTAACAAACAGTTTAAAAATCACAATATAAAATTAATAAAAACAATTTTCCTCAGTGCACAACCAGAGCTCAGTAGAAAGAAACAAAATATATCTGCGACAGAGACCGAGATAGAACATTAAACAATTTGTTTCACATTTGTGGAACCTTTCCCTTGCCGTTTTCCCTTTTTTTCCCCTTGGCCAACATGAAAACTTTTGCCAGACTTTGTCTTCTTTGTGTGCTAAGATCTCCCTGTGTGTGTGTAAAGTTTCCCTGGGTGTGTGTGTGTGAGTGGAGTTTTCCCGTATAAATGTGGTGGTATGTATTTGTATCTGTGTGCCACATGTATAACATTACAAAACGGTACACATGTGCAATCTGTCTACGGTTAAATTTGTTACGTTGCACACGCCATGCGAACATAAAAAGTGCATTTCCAACTTGGCACCATTCGACACTAAAAATTGCATAGAGAATATCGTCGTTGCCTTCTTCTCATACCGAAAATTTTCCAGGTTTTTCGCTTTTCTCGCCATTTCCCTAAGAGTTTTTTCCCGCACCCTTGCACCCTATATCTAGTTTCACATGCAAATTGTCGTTTAAACCAAAGACACGTGACCCTTGTGTGGTGGCAAGAGGTTTTATGTAATATTTAAGAAGAGGTAAAATTTAAAGATAGTATTTTTAAATATTTTGCAGGAAAAGTGCTCAAAATGTATATACAAATATTTCATAGCAAAACCTTTAATAGCAAATGTTTTACTTCATGATAAATTATTGGAAATATCGTTTAAAAAGGAAAGGATTAATTATAATACATGTGTTTATTATTTAAATATTAATTTTAAAATGTTGCTTTAAGTAAAAAAAGCTTATTTATACAAAGAAAGATATAGGATAATTAATATATAGAAATATAAATAGAAGAGCAATAAGTAAACTAGCAAATCTTTTAAAAAATAACTTTAAAGTGTTGCCTTACCAGCATTAAAGGGATGTTGGCTTGAATATTTTATACTTCTTAATAAGTAGCTTTCACAGGAAATATATTAAACCAAGAACTACAATATGATCCAAGTAATTTTGAAATAATTTCCCAAGAACTCAGCAAACTTAATGGGGCTTCAGGAAATCAAGCATGCCAAGGGGATAAGCCGCAGCTGGATAAAATGAAATTCCTGCAACCAATTACTAAATCGTCTCGCATCGTCGATGTTAGGAGTATGTTCGTTTCGGCCACAATTCCATTTTGGAACCCAGCTGCAGTGCCCAAGGACTCGATGCATCCTTTTAAATTGAATATAAAACGTAACATTCTGTTAAATTGCACAACGGCTAAACTGGTAGTAAACGAGGCAAGGTATGAATGTGAGTTAAAGTTACATATGCAGGACAACCTCTGACCCGTCGCCTCCTTCTAAACCCACCAAGCTCCTCGAAGCTCCTCGAATCTCCTCCCCAACCCCAGTTTGTCGCCGTGTCAAAATGCCAACAGCTAAAAGACTTTGGCTAACTGGCGACAAAAAAATCGAGGGGAAAAACAGAGACAGAGACCAAAATCAGGAAGAAATATAAGTCGAAGACTTAAGTACCCTTGAGATTAACTTCATAGATTTGTACTTAATAAATTACTTAAATTGTGCGTTTAACTAGGTGAGTATTTCAAGTAAAATGCAATTAAAACTTCAATATAAATTCATATTATATAATGCAAAGTGTTCTTCAATTAAAATAACATTTTTAAAGCTACAGAAAAGTCTAAAATATTTAGAATAATATGTACTTTAACACATATCATAAAATAGATAATATTATTTGGGACAATATATTTTTAAATAAATATTCTCTAATAAATGTCCAATTCACTTTATAAACCATTTATAAAACAACTAAAAGGTCTTACAAATTTAAAATAAAACGTTCTTTATAATCAATCAAGTAAGAAATACTAAAAAATATATTTAACTTTAAATCCATCCAGGGTACAAAACCCATCGAGAGCAAGAAAAATCCCTTTTGAGTCCTGCTGCCGAACAGAAAATCCAACAAAAGCCAGTAACTTACTACGGGGGGGAAAAAAAAAGGAAATTTGAGGGGGAAAAAGGGGTGCAACTACTGCAACTGTCAAATGCATTATCATGGCATCTTTTTGCCAAAAGTTCAGAAGGTAAAAACGTAAAGGAAATGCAGTCAAGTGCTTAGGAAAGAAGCACTAAACCTGATCCTTGTGCAATTATTTAGGGTGAAAGAGAACTTATTTAAAGTAAAAGGGAACTTATTTAAGATTAAAGTAAAGATATTTCAAATTACATGAGTTATTTATATTTAAAGGGAACTTATTTACGATTTAAGTGGCATTACTTATTTATTTGTTATGTATTTAAGTTTAAAATGAACTGATTTAAGAACAAAGCGAACTTATTTACGTTGAAGGAACTGTTTAAAATAAAAATTAACTTCTCTAAGATCAAAGTGAACATATTAAAGATTCAAAAGAACTTATTTAACATTAAAAATTTGAAACAAACTGAAAAACATTAAGGACCAATTAAAATTCCAATTTAAATCACATTAAAATCAATTTAAAAGTTACAACCTACAAATCTAAAACAATTTACTCATTTACAAATCAAATTTTAATTATTATTGATACTTTTTCCGATTATTTAACACCTTTCAATTGTCTAGTAATCATTTTAATTACACTCTACTTGCTAGGCAAACCGATTAACAGCATAATTAAATTAGTAATCCACTTACAATTAATTACACCATATTGTATTGTTCTCAATTTAATGCACATTTTGTTTGCTTATCAGCCATTTGAAATACGCATTAAAAAAGAGAGTAATTTAAAGGCGGAGATTTAATTAACATTTACATAGAGATTTTCTATAATAATACACTCGATTTCACTTGAGTACAATCTCAATTATTTAGCATGAAAATCCGCTTACACAGCAGCTGTTTTTATATATATTTATATATTGCTAAGCTGTTGTAATAGTTTCACTTCCTGCTACTAAAACTCAAACAAATTAAATCAATTCCCCGAAACGCTATATATCATATATAAATTCAGTCTCCGCCCACCAG